CAAATATATTCTGATCAACAAAGTGCTAAGACTTATAAGTTACACTAAGCAACTTTTTTTTTCACAAGTAAATATATATATATAGAATCGAGATTGAATTCAAAATGATTTGTTCTACAGATCATCGTTTGAAATAAGACAATTTAGACAAAACTTTCTCATCTATCTTACAGGTTACAATCGCGTATGTTTATGAAAATTTTTTTGTTATTAAACTTCTTAGAATTTTAAAGGGTGTTTATTCATGTTCTATCCGATAAAAAGACTTTAGATACATCTATAATCTAGAGTCGATAAGATACTGATGAAAGTTTTCAAATATTCTAACGAAAATGAATTCTTTTTTCTGGAAAACTAGTTTAAGAGTCCAAGAAAATCGGCATTATTATTCATGTGCGTCTAGAATTCTATTCCTAATAAAAATTGAGAATAAATTTATTTCAATGGTATTTTTCTCACTAGAAAAGAATTCTTCATGTTAGCCATAGATTCATCTGACGATCAATACAAGAAAAGAACATAATGTGCATAATACGGCGCATTTATGGAGTTCTTTTGAAAAAAACTTTAGTTAAATAGGCCGCTTCAAGAAAACTGCTCGCCTTGTTTAAAGGCAAAATATGAACTCGATATGTACCTAATGAAACAATCAGCTCTGACTTCTTACAAAAAAAACATACCGCCTAGCACTTTTGAGCGATATATGATTTCTGCTCAATGTTTAAGTAAACAGCAAGAAATTTCTTCTGTCTCACCATCCTCCATTAGATAGTCCTTATTATTAAGAAGAAGAATATTCTACCTTTCCGCTACCTCGTGATATAGGGTGCTGTCCAGAGACAACTCCGAAAGTCCGATATTTTTCTATATAACTATCCTAAGTCACAGCTCTGCACAGACGGCCGGTTTGATTCATGGTTTTTTCGCTCAATTACAGAAGCTCCCTGTACGCATTGACTAACCAAATACCAGTCACAAGATTCAGTATATGTCGCAGCGCAGTCAGCATGCTATGGTACGGAAGATCCGACACAAACAGTCGTCAGTGACTTGTTCAAAGTTATTGAATATCTGAGGGAGTCGAGATTCGAAAACATTACCTTCGTAATACGTGCCGAACAACTTTACTAATTCAGCCCTAGCTGCCAAGGTTTTTTTTGAAACTCATCAATCATTCTTCTTTTCGAACGAATATGAGTTTCTAGGAGAATCCATCCAATATATACATATTTCAATAGAGATATCAAGCTGTTTTCTTTTTTTAGATTACATAGGAAGACTCCAAATGGCTACAGAAGGAATAACACGCGGATATGATTACATGAAAGAATCTTCAGTCAATGAACATGTTCTATGTCCTATTTGTTCACATCCATTCATCGATCCAGTAGTTACTCCATGTGATCATACATTCTGTCAAGCTTGTATTAAATCTTGGCTTGACAAAAAATCAGAATGTTATACATGTCGAAAAGGTGGAAATCTCTTCCAAAGTTCTTCATCCTACTAGCCGTAGTGTGATACTAATACTTGACAAGATTCTCGTCCGATGTTTAGCTTGTGATGAGGAAAAAATTCTGCGACGAGAATTCACCAGTCATTTGGAAAATGATCGTGTCTATCATCTATAGAAGTGTGTTGCTAGTGATCTTGAATGTCCTTCGGTTAAATTATGGAATCAAATAAAAGCTCATCAAACTATTTGTGTGTTTGAAAAATTGAGACCAGTTCTCGAAGACATAATGACACGACTTCAAGCCATTGAGAAGGACAATAAGGTTCTTCGATCTGAAAATCACGATCTAAAAGAAGAACTACTAGTGTTGGAACGAGAATACAATCAGTTAGAATGTACAATGAAGAACAATAACGAACATAGTCACTTACAACATACAGGTATTCTAATTTTCTTTATGTTTTCAAACTATCAGGGATTCAATTAAGCATATCTATATTGCCATGGGAAAAGTCAATTTATAGAAAGAACTCGAGAG